AGAGACTATTTTGAGGAGGGAGTTGCCCAAACTCCTATATTTATGAATGTGATTCCTTAAGTACTTATAACTTAGCATCTCCTGGTTTGATTGACACATCATTTTAAATCATGGTTAAGGGCACTTAAGCATAACAGAATATGTAAACTTGTAAAAATATTACATTTTCATCTGCAGTTTTATTTTAATTAAATATTTTTCAATTGCAGTTGACATGTAATATATTACTTTCAGGTGTGCAACATAGTGATTAGACATTTATATAACTTACAGAGTGATCACCCCGATAAGTCTAGTACTCATCTGACACCATACATAGTTATTATAATATCATTGACTATATTCCCTATGCTGTACTTACATCCCTTTGACTGTTTTTATAACTGGCAGTTTGAACACCTTAATTCCTTCCCATTTTTCACCCATCCACCACCAAACTCCCTTCCATCTGGCTACTATCAATTTATTCTCTGTATCACGAGTCTCTGTTTTGTTTGTTCATTTATTTTGTTTTTTAGATTCCATATATAAATGAAATCATATACTTGACTTTTTGACTTATTTTACCCTCTAGGCCCATCTATATTGTTGCAAATGGCAAGATTTCATCATTTTTATTGCTGAGTAATATTCTGTTATATATAGGTACCACATCTTCTTTATCAATTCATCTATTGATGGACACTTAGGTTGCTTCCATATTGGCTATTGCAAATAATGCTGCAATAGACATAGGGGTGCATTTATCTTTTGAACTAGTGTTTTGGATTTCTTGGGGTAAATACCCAGTAGTGGAATTGCTGGGTCATATAGTAGTTCTATTTTTAATTTTTTGAGGCACCTCCATACAGTTTTCCATAAAGGCTGCACCAATTTACAACCCCACCAACGATGCACAAAGGTTCCCTTTTCTCCACATCCTCACCAACACTTTCTGTTTGTTGACTTGCTGAGAATAACCATTCTGACAGGTGTGAAGAGATATCTCATTGTGGTTTTAGTTTGCATTTCCCTGATGATTTAGTGATGTTGAGCATCTTTTCATATGTCTATTGGCCATCTGTATGTCTTCTTTGAAGAAATGTCTATTCAAGTCCTTTGCACATTGTTAATCAGACTGTTTCTTTGATGTTAAATTATATGAGTTCCTTATATATTTTGGATATGAACCCCTTAATGAATGTATCATTGTCTGCAGGTTATTTTTGAAGTTGCTTTCAATGGTCCCAAAGGAGGGTATGTTGCCCTGGATGATATTTCTTTCTCTCCTGTTCACTGCCAAAATCAGACTGGTAAGTATTATTATTTTTCGTCTTCTTCACATTTGGAATTTTCCTTCTCAGTAGATGCCTGTGGTCAGGGTTTGCTTTAATTCTTTCTAATTTTCTTACATTTCCTGTTATCCTTAAAAAATTATTTAACTAAATAGTCATTTTTCTGGTCTATTACTCTTTTTTTTCTCCTCACAGAGTAAATCTAATTTTTCTGACAGCACAAGCCAGTTGTCATGTGCTAAGGAGCTTCCATCTTCCCTGCCTACTAGGAAATGAAAATTATATAATATTAATTGATTTTCTCCCCACCTTTCTCTTTAAAGGATATCTTGTGTTCATAGACAAGTGGGTAGGTAGATGGAAAAAACTCTCAATCTACTGAGTAGAATTATGAAAACACTTTCCGATTTTATGTATCTAAGACCTATAAATGTCCTCATATTTAAAGATGTTAGTATTTGGAATGTAAATTTCTGTAATGGTTTTTGGTTAAATGTTATATACTCAATTTAAATTCTTTTTCTAAGTGAACCCTCAAGTTGTTTCATCATCATGGCTAATTTTATAATTTTCATAAACTTAGTATTTGGAAATGAGAGGAAATTTTTACCTTCTGAGAAAATAGGTAAGCAAATTAATTTAAAGCGAATTAGAAAACAAATGTTTTAGAATAAGAAGGATGACACTGTATTCATGATAATCCAGATAAATGCAATTGATCTTACCTTTTAGTGACTTTATTTCCTTGAGAGGTGCCAGAAAAACACTGTGGTCTTCCCATCTTATTAATGAACGCTCATTTGTTTTATGGAGCATGGAAAGTGAATTTTTGAACTTGACCTTTATAGTCTGAGTTTCACTTAAGATAGAGTTAGTCTGTCATTTAATATGGTTTCCGATATATTCTACGAGCAAGGGGACTGAGAAAGATAATAGTTTCTACTCAAGCTAAGCTGTTAACTCAAAACTAGAGTGAAATCTACTAATTTGCTAAAACCAAATATTATTTTTTACTAATTCTAATTTTTTTAAAAAGCTAGTGAAATAGAAAGAACCATATGTATTTACATATTTACATATCTTCATTAAAATTATTTAATCCAAACTATAATCAATGATTAGAAGAGTCTCTAAATGTTTCTGACACCACAAGCCAGTTGTCATGTTAAGGAACAGAACATGGAAACCAAAATTGTTTTACTTCTCTAAATCTGATTGATCCCTAATCTCATCCTAGTTAATATTTCAATGATGTTAAAAATAGTTCCATAATCTCTCTATCATTATTTGTAGAGACTTTTTCTTTGAACATTTTACATTGAACTTTTATATTTCCAAGTCATACATATGTAAAAAGAGGTGTTTCTTCAATATCCGCAGGGTAGAGGGTGGGTGAAGACGCAGCCAGGAGGTCATAGAATTTACTGAGCCACCTTAGAAGTAATGTTTGGAAACATTCTTCCTTTTAAAAAGACACAATATGTGTGCATTCTTTCCTACTGATGGGTAAAAGGAAAAGAAAGATTCCAGCAAAGTGAGGACTGTTTACTAAAAGGACTTGTGGCCCCTCGGTCTGTAAGATCCAGCTGACATAAAGACTCTTCCTCCGTAGAGGCCACCAGAGATTCTATTTTCATATACTTAGGCTAACTTGTCTTCAGAACTTCCCAAAACATACCAACTTTGTTTTAAAATGGTTTAAGTACGTGATCATAGTGTAATGCTCAAGAGCAAAGACTTTGGATTCACATCCCCCTATTCTTCCACTTAAAAGCTGTGTGATCTTGGGCATGTTAATTAACCTCTATGAGACAAGGATAGAAGAATCTGTTCTATAGTATTGTTGGGAAGATTGATGAGTTAATGACTGTGAAGGCCTTAGCAGGGTATGGCACACAGAAAATGCTTGGTCATAAGACTTAATATTATTTACTTAATTTTCAAAATACTCCCATCCATTTCTTGTTCAGGGGCTCAGCTCGAAATTAAAGAGCACCAGCAAAGAGTACTGCTTTGATGAATGTGTGAAATGGAGCCCGCTTTGTACCTTTCATTAAGTAGCTCTGAGTCAGATTCTGAGTCTTAGAAGCTGAGCTCTTTAGTTTTCATATTTTGTCTTACATTTCACAAATAGTTTATGCCCTTCTGTTCTATAACAGGTGCCAACATTCTTTTCTTTATCTTGGTTAGCTCCAGACTTGTTGTCTCTGCTTTTCCCAGCTGGACCTAGTGTCTTCTCTCATCTCTGTAATAGACCAAGACAGGAATTATTTCAACACATGAAGCGTTTCGTTCCTATCGTTCCTACCATCTGGTTGGGATTAGAGTTAATAAACTTTACCCGACCTGAGATCCATCACAGAGTCACAGGTGTTAAACACTAGTGTCATGTCACTCCCTGATTATTTCCCCAGGATGCTCCAGAGGATAGTGAGACTGCTCCACTACCCACACCCTGAGTTCTAGCACTTGTCTTTCCAAGCCTATTCCACCCATAAAATGCCTCCCTTCCACCACCATGTTTGGCCTAGAGTCTAAATCATGGGAATAAATTCTCTTTTCAGGCTGTAAATTCTTAAATGCTTAATAGGTGTTTCTATCCACTTCTAGGAATCTTGCCTTAGTGCCCAACCCCAAACAGAGCTTCACTGCTCTACCCTGTGCAGGCCTAACCTCCTCTCTGAGTTTGGGTCCATCCTGTATCCATCCAGGCCAGAGACTGGGAGGGGCCTGACACTCATGGATGTGATCTCAAAGGATGTCTACCTGGGCCTAAATTCCGATCTTGACCATTCACCAATAACATACTGCCCAGACTTCTTGTTCAATTGGAAACCTGGCTCTAATTGTTGCCTTGGTTACAGCAAAGGTTGCCATAGCCTTCCTAAGCTCAAAGGCCCTCAAGCATCAACATAGCCTAGTCAGTGGCCCAGCCTCTGCTGCATCATGATTCTTGGTGTGGTGCCAGGTCCCACTCAGTCTCTTCCCCAAGCCAACTTTGAGTTGTTTCAGCCTGTTTTTAGGATGGCTCATGCTAAAATAAAACTGTGCAAGTTTAACAGCCTAAAGAGCATACAGTACCCTAAACTTCTCTGGCACCACAGGAGCTGATGAGCCTTCGTAGATCTCTAGAACTGATACTGAGTTCGTCTCCATGAACTCCATGGAGCAGAGGAAAAGACGAAAACTGCTCCCACTGGTTCTTCTCAAACTGCAATACCCTCCATCTGATTAGATTATCTTCAAAGCCTCTCATTTCTAAAAAGTTTAAATGTCAGAAAGAAAGTAATTAACTAAATCTTACATTATAATGCTTTTTGGTACCTTGCTCAAAGGAACTTTTTTTTTTTTTAGTAATTAGCTACTGCTTGAGGTTTCCAGCTGCCTGATTCCTTCTTATGCTTCAAATACGTCATTAACGCTCCTCAGTAGCTCAATTGTGATTGCCACTTGACCCATGCTTCTGAAACAAGCCTGAAGCAAAGGCTTTCCAGCAACCTTAGATCTCTGAGGAGCTCGTGTTGGGCCACAAACAGTCCCTTGGCCCCACCTTCAGGAATTAGAGATTATCTCATGGTGAAAGAAGTTTTGTGAGTAAAAAAGATTTAGAGTCTGAGACATGATTTTGAGATTTTCTTTTCATCAGATCTCCTCAAGACCCCAGACAAATCCATTTTTAGGACTAGCTATTTAACAAAACAATATAATCTCATCTTCAGAAAAGTCTTTTCTGTACAACTCAGTTCATCATGGAGAGATCTGATCCTTATTTACTTTCAGGTTTTAATACCACCTCTCACCGTCTCCTACACACCTAATAAACGGGTTATGGTTCTCCTGTGGCCACCCATGGGCATATCCCCTGGTATATATTTCTAATATATATATACCACTGCTCTACCATTGAGCATGGATTTGTGGAGGGCCACACCATTTTCTGAGCTAGATGGCATCTGCAGATTTTGAATTGTCATCTGCTTTTTCATTACGAGGTGGAAGAGGGGTGACTGAGACTGAACACTGTCATGGAGTTTCCCATGGCATCACAACTTCATGGGGGGATGTCAAAGGATGTTTGTTTGCAGGACGTCATATTCATTTTTGAAAGACTTTCTCTTTATGGCCTAAAAATACTCCCCGATGCTGACAGAGTCAGGCAGAGCAGTGTGTGGGCTCATCCGCCAGACTTAGAGCTGAGAATTCTCTTTATTTCCTTGTCTCCTGTCTGGCTTATCAGGGTGCTCTCCTCGTACACTTGCCAGGGCGTATCATCTGCAATACAGTCAGGTTCCAGTCACACAGGAACATTGTCTTCCTGTTCTTTGTAATGTACTGTTAATCACTTTTTCTTTTTCTTTTTTTTTTAATTTAGTGTTTTTAGAACTCTATTTGTATCATCTTAAACTCAGAAAAAAAATCTCAAGAATACTATCAAGAACTCCCATATGCTCTTCATTCAGATTTACAACTTGTTAACATTCTTCCATATTCTTTTTATCAACCATTTAAAAGTAGGTTGCAGAATGATGCCCCTTTACCCCTAAATTCATCAGTGTGTGTTTTCTAAAACCAAACACATTCTTCAACATAATTATAAAGTTCAAGACATTTAACACTGAAAGAATATTATCAACTAAACTATAGTCCAATATTGTCAACTAAACTAATTTACCAATGGCCCCAATCATGTAGTTTATAGCTGTTTGTTTTCCTAGACAAAGGTTGAACCTTGGATCCCTTGCAGCATTTGGTTGTCATGCCTCTTTCATCCCCCTTAATCTCAGCCAGCTCCTAAGCCCACTGGAATGTTTTTTTGTTTTGTTTTGTTTTGTTTTGTTTTGTTTTGTTTTGTTTTGTTTTGCTTTGAAAATTGATAAATTGAGAATATACTGAGTCTTTGTCCCCAAACAACTCAGTTTCATCAGATCACTGCTCGCAGAATGCAAATGTTCCTCTAGAAATAACTTTTCAGTTATTCAAAACAGTGCCCTTTCTCTCTCTCTAAAAGGTTAGACCAGTGTTTGTCGGCATGCAGAACAGGATCCCAATTAGCTACATCGAATGTGTCCCAAACTTTAGTTCACATCTTCTCTGGGCTCAGAAGGCAACCTGAACAGTGAGGTTCACAGTCACTGTTGCTAGGACCAAGTCATTCTGAAAAGAACAGAAATATTACATATTTCATTCCTGGGATGAGGTGATATTTATAGACCAAGGTAAAATGATACTGGAACTTAGCAGAAGACAAAATAATAGCAGTATAGGTGACAGAATTGGTGTGTCTTTTTGAACAGCATGGTTTTTACTAAGTAATGCTTTTCTTCCAGCAGATCAGCTTCTACTACTAGTGTCAATGATAAATAGTGGCTGTGCTTCAGAGATTGATCGACAACAAAAAAATTATTTCTGGAAAATATTATATCTAAAATATCTATCTTAGAAGGGCACTAAGAATTCCTTAAAATCCCCACCTTTTCTCTTTTTTTTAAAAAAAAAATTGTATGAATGGATTTTGAATTGTGAAAAAATATGTGGATAAATGCTTTCAGTTTTTATAGCATGAAAGGAAATTTCTTTTGAAGTCTGGTACTTTATTTTTATACAGAATGTGAACAGAGCTTCTTCCTTCCATTCCTTTAGGGAGAAAAAAGAACAATTTTCTTGTCATGCTGAAACTTCCGTTTAATGCTAACCTGTCAGCATGCCATTAGGGTAAAAGTATTTTGTTGTGTTTTACTTCTTCGGTCTCTCCTGGTACAAATGTGTACCTATTTGTCAATCAGTCGATGTAGTCCTTTGAGATCTTTGAGTTTAGCTCTCTTAACTGTGGTTTTCCTTTGCTCAGAACTTCCTTTCAGTGCCTTAGAAGCAAGCTGCAATTTTGAGGAAGATCTCTGCAAGTTTTATCAAGATAAAGACGGTCCAGGCTGGACCCGAGTGAAAGTAAAACCAAACATGTACCGGCCTGGCGACCACACTTCGGGCTTAGGTAAATCAGGAATCTGTCCATGTGGGACACTGGGGGAGGAAAGGGAGTTGGTGTTCGTGCTTCATTATCTATCTTTACTCTACACCTACCAGATGCCAACTTAAAAAAAAAAAGGCAGCTGTAAAGAAGCAAAGACAATTGGTAATCTTGTGTTTGACTATTTTTTAAAACTGGAATTCAAGTTGCTGGGCTAGCGAAAGTATTTCTCAATTAATTAAATGGCCAAGCCTTTGGAAATTATCTTGCTCTTCACTTTACATAGAGAAGTACCTCTAAAAAAGCTATTAGAATCCAATTATATGAAATATCCAGAATTGGCAAATCCATAGAGATAGAAAGATTAGTGGTTGCCAGGGTCTGGGGAGGAGGAAATGGGGAGTTACTGTTTAATGGATATAGAATTTCCTTTTGGGATGATGAAATGTTTTGGAACTAGATAGTGGTGGTAGTTGTACAGCACAGTGAATGTACTAGATGCCACTGAATCGTACACTTGAAAATGGTTAAAATGGGAAATTTCATGCTACGTGTATTTTACTACAATAAAAAGAATATATTGTGAGGGAATAAAAACTAGTGGAAATGTTAGGCAGACACTTGATGGATATATCTATGAGGAACTCTTGAAAACCAGTTTGAGCTCCCCGTATAAGGATTACCTATTGCTTTAATGACCTCCCTTGTGAAACTCACTCCAGTAGAAACTGGCGGAAGGAGTTGGCTCTCAAGGAGTTAGTGTCTCCTTTATTTATTTGACAATTACTTATACCTTGGGCACCAGGGCAGATTTACCAGAAAGCTGATTAAGCTTGGGTTTCAAGGCCCCTCCTTTGCACAGGTCCTGGGAAAAGCCTTGAAAGGGGCCTTTGCAATATTATACCTGTAGTTTTGTATTCTTTTCTTAGAGGTTGCTTTACTTGTAGAAATACAGGCCCTATTTCTGACCTTGGCCAGATTAACTCCTGGGAGATACAATAATGAATAAGTCAGGTTTGAAACCTGTCTTCTCTAGCTCACAGTCATTTCAATGGACAAGATAAACAATAAAGAAATATATATAAAAATAAACTCATAATTACAGTTGTGATAAGTGCTATAAGAAAAATTAACATTGAGTTCTGAGAGAGAATAGAGGAAAGAACCTAATGGTTGAGGATTCAGGGAATCCCCTTCTGAGGGAAGTAGGTATTATTTGGGAGAGTGGGAGCCATCCAGGCAGAGGGAGCAGCATCCATGAAGGTTTCGAGTTTGGAAAGAGCTGGACACTTCAAGGAATTGAAAGGTTAGCGTGGCTGCACCATGGGGAGGATAAGAGAGGAAAATAAAGTTAGAGAGGGAGATAGATCATGGGTGTAGCAGACCAAAGTAAGCATTTGAGATTTTATTTTAAAGGAAATGAGAAGCCATTGAAAGATTTAAAGTAGGGAAGAGAGGGATTAAATTTAGATTCCAAAAAGATTGTTCTGGCTATTTTATGGCCACGAGTATTAGTCTGCTCCCGCTGACAACAAAATACCACAGACTGGGTGACTTGAATGAAAGAAATAAATTTTCTTACAGTTCTGGAAACTGGAAAGTCCAAGATCAAGGTGCCACAGGGATTGGTTACTTGTGAGACCTTTCTTCCTGGCTTGTAGATGGAGCCTTTTCAGTATGCTCTCATGTGACATCTCCTCTGTGTGTGCATGTGGAGAGAGAGCTCTTTGGTGTCTCTTCCTCTTATAAAGACACCAATCCTGTAGCATTAAGTCCCCACTCTTAACTTCATTTAACTTTAATTATCTCCTTAAAGGTCCTGTCTCCAAATATAGTCACAAGGGGGCTTAGGACTTCAACATATGCAGTTGTTGGTGGTGGAAGGGCGGGGGGCGGTTGTACACAATTTAGTTCATAATACCACTCAAGTGAAAAAAAAACAAAGAACTTTTGCCAGATGAGTTAAGTAATTGGGTAAAACTAAATTATATAACAAAAACTGAGACACCCAGCAGGCCCTCCAATAACATTTTCATTCAATGAGGTTTCGTTATAAAGCCGATGAGATGTCGTAGGACTTTAACTCTTATTTAGGTTAATTAGCTGATGTTAAAATTGGTTTCACTATATGTCGGTTCACTTGAAGTTGCAGAACTTATTGATGACATCAGGTGAGGACTTACTGTGCTATTTTTTTCTTTTCCTCCCAGGCTTTCTAGGGTACAAAGATCTGTTTTAAGTTTACTGTGGGGTTGGTGGAGCAGGTGGGAGGGGAAGTTCTTGATTTTATTTTTCTTTATGTTATTTAGAAGAAATAAGTGAAGAATACAGATCTTTAGCACCTGGTTGATGTGATTAAAAATATACTCTTCAGGAGCAAGTTTAGCATATGACCAAGAGAGTACAAAGCTCTGCCCAAGCACACAAATCTCTCCTCCCCCCAGGACTGCCAGGCCCATCTGTAATCAATCTCTCCATCTCCACTGGTCACTGCAGAGATAAGAAAGAAAACTCTGCTCTGGGCCTTGTGTTCACAGTGACTCAGTACTGGGTACTCAGTATAAGTCAGCTGCTTGACCCACGGTCATGAAAAGTATAAATTTTAATTGATGAGCAGAATCTGGGCATATGCAGTTGGAAATCTATACATGTTTATGAAGTTTGGTTAGAATTGGAGATTTATTGGCAATGGAGTCACATAGGTATATTCTATCATTAAACCACAGATATTACAAAATGCTTTATCATTTAAAGTCTGTGAAAAAAATTGTCTTTTGACAAATTCTACTACTTTACCCAAAGTTTCCCACTTGACAAGCTGGGCTAGATGATTTAAAGTTTTCATTGCTAATACATGGAATGCTTTGTCCCGTTCGCAGGGTATTATGTGCTGGCCAACACAAAGTTTACATCTCAGCCTGGCTACATTGGAAGGCTCTACGGTCCCTCCCTGCCAGGAAACTTACAATATTGTCTACGTTTTTATTACGCCATCTACGGGTTTTTGAAAATGAGTGACACCCTAGCCGTTTATATATTTGAAGAGAACCATGTGGTCCAAGAGAAGGTCTGGTCTGTTCTAGAGTCACCCCGGGGTGTTTGGATGCAAGCAGAAATCTCCTTTAAGAAGCCCATGCCTACCAAGGTACAGTAGAACCAGCACAATCCTTTGTTCATTTGCAGTTGCTGGACTGGATTAGGGAATTTCTGTTTAATTATTTTCAATTGGTGCTGTGTTATTTTCTTTTGTTCAAGCTGACAGCCCTGCCCCCACACTATCCCCAGCCATGCACAATTGTGTCCTTCAGTTCTTTTCAGTTTTCTGTGTCGCAGAATCACAGCCACCTAGGGACTTTGCTTATCGTTTATTTCTTAGGTTCCCTGAGAATAGTCCAAAGACAGAGAATATGCAAACAGTCCAAGCTCAACAGCTAAACTCTAGTTTGAAGCCACAATTCACACACACACACACACACACACACACACAAGCAGACTTGCACCAGGTACACAAAACCAGGGATGCATCAAAAATTAATGGAATTTTTGTTGTGCTCCATATCCCATTTTGTTAATGTTTTAAAAGGGAGGGGAGGATATAATAAACATTTCACTCATTCATTTGGCTTTCATTTGTTCATTCATTCATCCATTCATTTATTTATTCCTTTATTCAACCAGCATAGATTAGGTATATGCTCAGGGCAAGGGATATAAAGACGAATGACACTCAAATCCTACTCCTGAGGAGATCACTAATGACAGAAAATTCAGGTACAGATATGCAAGAAACTAACAACATACAATCTCTCTGTCTCACAGGAGGGCTTCACAGGAAAATAGAGAAATGGTTCTACCAAATGGCCATATAAAAAATAGTGACAAATAGAGGCCCTGCTGAGCTGATGTTTGTAGGACTAAGGATCAGACCATGCTGGATTCTAACTCCTGCCCGCATCCACCCCACTCTACCCTCTTCCCCCACATCCTCTACTCACAAACACGTGGGTTGTTTAGAAAACTGCCACTTCTTTAGAGCAAGTCCCTGCTCTTACCTGACTCCCATGGAATGGCAGTAAGGCCTCCAGCAAATATGGGCGCTACAGAGAATTTGCCCATTTCTTCTTTGGCTGACCTCTAACTTTCTCAGCAACTGCACACTTCCTCCCCAAACCACTTAAGGAAAAATGGATGGAGACCTAGTTGGGGCAGGAAAGTTCTTATAGCCTTGGAAGAAACTAGTTGTGGATTTGGCCCCAGTGCCTATGAGGAGATGGTAGAGTTCAACGCTACAAAACTCTGGACGTATGTCTGAAGGTGGCCTGTAGTTTTGGCAGGTTTCTTCTAAAGAAAACCAGCTCCTCAGAGAGTGAGAGGCCATTTGATGTCCACCATAGAAGCACACATTAAGGCAGGAAACTAAAGTTCACTGACTTATGTAACATACACAGTTAGAAATAACGTATAAACAGAAGGGATAAAATGAAAAGTCACACTCCCTACCTCTCAACTTTTTCTAATGGTTTTCTCCTTGATTTTCTGATGGTTTCCTCTATAATTCCAAATATTGTACTTCCATCTCCATTTCTTGATTCAGTAAACTTAACAGTATTTGCTGACTCCCTGCTATGAAAGATAAGGAATATAGTTTATTTATACCATTTATTCTCCTTTTTTCTCTCCTCACAATTTTTAGTTGTATTTTTATTTTTTACTTTTCCCTCAGTTCCCTTCGTAACTTTAATCTACTTAATGATTTATCTTTGGACCCATGAACTTTAGATGTTATCTCTTAATACCCCACTATGTAACAAGAATAAGTTTTCACTCCTACATTTCCCTCTACCTCTTTTTCGCCTCTACTTCTCAAAGTCTCTCAGCTATACAGCTGCTTTTGCATTGTCATGGTTTATAACATTTATGTTCCAGAAGTGAAGACTTCTGTCCTTGCCAATGGCTGGATTTCCCAGTGTGAACCCTCTTGGCATTTGGAGGAGGACAGTTCTGCCTTTATGGGGGACAATTATGGGGGACAATCCCCTCACATTATTGGAGTTTTAATGTCTACAATTACTACAAAAACCTAAATTATTTCCACACATTTCCAAATGGCCCAGAGGTGCCACAACATCCTTGGATGAGAAACATTGGTCTGAAGTTGATTCTGGAAATTGAAATTAAAAACCAATCCCACCTGCAATCCACTGTGCTCCCCTGCAATCTGTGCTCCCCAGGCAACGGAGTTCTCAGGAGGAAGAGAAACGCTGTGCTTCCTGTTGCCCTTAGGGAAAGGGCTCTGCGTGCTCTGACATTGGTCCCCTCCCCAGCTTTGCCTCTTGCTCTCTCCAATCTAATCTCACTGCACAATCAGTTCCTGGAACACATTCCGTTCTCCCTTACCTTAGGTCATTGCACCCTGTTTCCTCTGCCTAGACTTTTGTTAATTCAATCACGGCTTAAATTTCTCTTCCACAGAGAATCCTTCTCTGTTCCCACTCCCCAGAATAGGTTAGGATTCCCTGGCATCCTAGGTCTCTTCTTCATCATCTCAGAGACAGTATAAAACAGAAATCAGGAACATAGACATAGGAGTTTCTGGTTTTAAATCTTAATTCTACCAATTACTGGCTTTGCAATCTTAGTTTTTTTAATTGAAGTGTAATGGACCTTAATGTAACTAACATAATATTATATAATTGACATTATATATTATTACATATAATAATATGATAATTATAATGTATTACTAATACATTATATAGTATCTTATACAATGCAATCATAATACATAACATCATGAAAATATTAGTAGTACCTACCTCACAGGATTATGGTGAAGATCAGATGAGATGGCATTGGGTAAAGCTCTTAGCATATACTTGGCACATAGTTAGCATTAATTAGCTGTAGCTGAGGAGAGAGTGAGAGAGAAAGAAAAAGAGGGAGAGAAAAAGAGAGAGAGAATGCACGCTCGTAAAGTTTTAAGGCAACATCTCTTTAGTATGTGGATATTTCTACACCTTGATTTTTGCTGTGAAGTATTCTATATTAAAAATAAGGTCAGAGTTAACTCTTTATTTTAATAATACTAAACTTTCTTAATGAGATGGCTGCTTCTCCTCAATCATGAGCAGCCTAAAATAAATTTTCAGTGTTTTAGAAACATTTGGAAAGGGCAAGAATCATGAAATGGTTTTCTTGATCTGTTTTTCCCCAGCACATTACTAAATGGAAAGCAGGTAATCAAATTACCTTGAGACTTTAGTACACTAGAGAGGATAATAAGGAGAGACAATGACTCACTCCAAAATGCTTTTCATTAAAAGCCAAATGTCAGGAGAGACTAGAGAGTCATCAGAAATCCCATGATGGAGCACAAACACTAACTTTCCCGTATTTAAGTCCTTAGTTTAACATTATGCTTGGTGATTGTAGCGGGTGTATTAGGTCCTGCAATATCTCCTGGCCTGAAGCTAGTTTTCCCTTTAACAAAGATCTTTAAGTGATCTGTTAATTTGAAGCACTGAGAAAAACTCAATATTGTGTTCATTAAATATTTCTTTTGGAAAAAATGTTAAATGGCCCATAAATGAGAGAATGACCAAGCATTCTGTTCCATCTGGTCTGGCTTAATGATCAGCTCAGCAGTCACTAAAATCTTCATGGTGTACTCTTCTAAGCCTACATATTTACTCAGAGAATTAAAAAAAACAAGTTTCAAAAGTCATTTATGGATTTGGAGAAAACTCCCATATGGCCAATCTGAAAAAAATCTAAATACATTTTTTTTTTTACTCAGCAAGCATCTTATGTCAGCACTTTTTAAGGTATGTCCCATAGAGCACAAAGTTTTTGAGTTGTTTCATTGAAAAAAGGTCCTGTGGTCAAATGAGTTGGGGAAAATTTTGTATATTATATATCTCTTCTTCTGTATACACACATAAGGATTCACAATGCACAGTAACACATTAGAAACTCTGGTAACTTCTACATTAAAGAATCCTGTTTAAGATGGCAGTTCCCTCAAAGTACTTGACACAGAACCCTTGTCTTATGTAGCCCCTTTTAGCATCATCCTACTATCATAGCATTTAATGCATTATATTGAAGTTGTCTACTTGTCTTCCTGTCTGCATTAACCAGACTGTAAGCTTCTTTCTAGAGAGCAGAGATCCAGAGATCTTATTTATTTTTGTGTTTCTAATACGAACATCATTTCTGAAATAAAGTGGGGGCTCAATAAATAGTTAAAGAAGAGAACTGAACTATCAATGAATATGTGTTAATGGCAAGGAAGGATAACATCAATCCATTCAAGGAAGAAGGAAGATTAAATGTTTCTACCTTTGGGTTATATAAATCATAATCCCTTATGGCTCAGCACCTGAGCAATTTGTTCTGCAAGAAAGTTCAGTGTGAACACTCAAAAGCAAGAATATCCTAAGGATACACATAGACAACATATATGCCAAGTCTGGTTTGGGGCTTTTTATGATGATACTTAAAACCCAAATTGTGATTCTTCTTTTGAAAAAACTTCCCATCCTTACATCGTGCCATTTTCCTATACCCAAAGACTGATGAACTTTTCTGATCCTTTCCCTGTCCCCCAACACAGCTTTTCCAGTCTCTATTCTGCACTCGTGGTCAGGGATGTGCTCACTTCTGCATCGCACTCTCCCTACATCCATTTCCTTCTGGCTTCTTCCAGCCTGGTCTGCTTAACCCCTGAGAACCCTCAGCAGCTCATTTCATCTTCTGTTACCTGTGTTTCTCAGTACAGCTGGAGAAAATCAGACTGATCTCTTCTGTTTCCTTCATGCTGCTGGGAAAGCCTTTTTATTCATCTCTGATTGATTTCCCTTCTCATACCCCACCCAGATGTTCAGATCCATCCTCACTCACAAGTTTCCAACATAATTCTCCCTGCCTCATTCTTAGGATATGACCTCATGGGTTCATCTCTCAAAAGTATGAAGGCATTCAACACAAGCTCCTTCAATTCTGTTCCTTTCTAAATCCTCCCTTACTTGCCTCTCTGTCTCCTGATGAATCTGACAAAGGAAGTAGGATTATCTTTGTTCTTAGTCAAAATCAACTCATCTATACATTTGATCTCAACTTCCTTCCTCCTCTGCAAACTATTTC